CTTATCTCCCCTCCTTCTTTTTTATGTTTGTTACTCTCTTGTAACACCTCTAATCTTCTGGCGCTCATATGACCTTATGCAGTTGCGAGCGCCGTGAAACCTCTACTAAATATATGATATGTCAAATAGTCACTTTCTCGTCCTCTATATAGATATTTCGTTGTGTTGAGCAGAAAATGTCCCCTTCTTGCTCAAGCTTTAAAATTTGCTGATATCATAGTAAGTCATTTATCAGCTTTTAGCGTGTCTTAATATTGACTGCTGCCCAGGAAAACATTGAGACTGGAGATTCTTTAGGGACATTGTATGTGGGGGGGAGGGGGGAACTAACTGAAAAATGAACGTTTTCTTGCAAGTGTTATTTCGTTTGGGTTTGGTTTTTTTCATTAGATATTTTTCTTCTTGTCTGCAGATATTTCAGCGGAGGGTGAGCTTAAATGCTCATATGAGGGTCCACTTTGGTGTTTACAAGCATGCCTGCGATTTCTGCGAAAAGAAATTCCGAACACCGGCAGAATGGCGAATTCACAGACGTTTGCACACTAAAGAAAAACCCTATGCCTGTCAGTACTGTGATGCTACCTTCAGCCGACAGTCTTCATGGGTTAGACACAAAAGAAAACATCTTGGTGAGCGTTCTCTTGCTGTTGATTTAATTATAATTGAGAGTGATATTTCATCTGGTCCGGCAAATGGTTGCTGGGTGTTTTTGTAATGTCTACTCCCATTGCCCTTTTCTACTTTCTGACTAAATGTGGGCATTGTTGTGGTGTGACAAAATGTGGACATTGTTGTGGTGTGACAAAATGTGGACATTGTTGTGCCAACCTGTAATAGGCTGCTATTGAGCTTAAGAGAAAGGAGACTTGCTTTATTTAGTCCTGTATTAACTCATTGGAGACGTTTCGCCCAGCATTTGCGAGCACCAATATTTACCCGAGAGACGGTTCAAGCACCCCCTGCAAGCACAAGTTTCGCGTTTTTTCCTCAGTAAAATATGCTCGCAAACGCTGCTTGAACCGTCTCTTACCGTGCAGCCAATCTTTGTTTCGTTTCGTGCGAAGTTTCACCGAAATTGGCTGGAAACTTTTTGAGTTATGGAGCCGGAAGGAAAGTTAGTCACACTAAGGCCCTACTTTTGTTTCTCTGGGTGGTGTCTGTTCTCGCAACACTTTGTCAGTGCAGTGGGTGTTGCATTCAACGAGGTCACATTCAACGAGAAGTCGGCTCCTACGAGGCAATCCTTAATCCCCGATTTTTCCCTCTATATCTCTTTATAAATGTACGTCAGCTCCAACGAGGTTGCAAACACACAGAAGTCGCTTTCAACGAGGTCGCGATAACCAAAGAAAAACAATTAGCGACCCCAAAAGCGAAGATTTTTTCTCCTTTCTCTCCATCTCTCGCGAAGCACAAGGCCCTTCCTCGATTCCTTACATATTGTATTGCTAGATCTAGTGTGCCTCCTAATATGGGCCTCAAAGCCAAGAGAATGGGCGAGGGTTAGCCTACGGTGGGGATGGGAGTGGGGGGTGGTGGGAACGCGATGCGGGCTGTGTGAAACTAGATGAATTCTGGATGGATAGGTCTAGATCGAGACCTTCATTTTTTTCAATTTTCTTTCTTCCCCTGATCAGAAAATCCAAGCTCTCGCCTTTACTTTATGTAGATCTAGGCCAGACCTAAATGTGAGAGGGTATGTTTCCACACGAGAATTGTTCAGGAAAAAAAATGTTTAATGCAGAAATGACGGTCAGAACACAGCTCAAACATGCGCACACTGATGCTGTTTGAGATTTTCGTCATCAGGAGGGACAACTGTTTTAATTACTCGAATTGGTACATCGTGTAATATAATAACTTGTCTCCTTTCTTTTCTTTAGCCTTAGTCACGTTCAATGAGAGGTTGGATCCAACGAGGACAATAAGCCGGTCCCGGCAACCTCGTTGAATGCGACACCCACTGTACGGTGGCAGCACGTTTAGTTTTAATAAAAGTTTTATGGCACTTGTAACACAATAAGGTGCTATAAATGCCGAAGATTAGGTGTTTGATAGGAAAGAAGGAGCAAACCATACCAGAGAACCCGCCAACCACCCACTAGGCAGAACAAAAAAGCAAACATTTTTCAAGTGTTTGATGACTTTGACAGTTCAGAAAATTCTGATTATGATATTTTAGACCATGGGGATCCTGATTTCAATGTAAATGAGCATCAAAGCACTGATTCTGATAGAGAATGTTCAAGATCTAGACCGGGCTTTCAAATGCAAAATTCCGCTCTGTCTGGAGCCCTGGGGTTTTTTTCACACTGAAGTGGATTAGACAGCTAATACGTAAGGATTACCATATTGATTACCTGCCTATTCATGAGTTTGGACTTTTTATTCATTTTGAAACACAAAACACAACAAAAGACTCTCACAAGGTTGATTTTTTGTGGGTTTTGTTGTGTTGTTTTTTTTACACAAGACAGTTCGTCAAAAAATTTTGGCGAGCAACAAGTTTTAGCACATTTTCAAACAATCGTTTCTAAAAAAAACTATGAAAGATATTGCCTCTCTGTTTTTTTGTGTGTCCTATTGGGCATGTTTAGATCTCTTATGTATGTAAAAATGGTGGTTTTATGGCTTTGGGAAGGATGTTGTTTGAAATATCGAAATACCCCCAAAAATGCTTGTCTTCAGTACATGTAGACCCGAAAAGGCCCAGTCTCCAGTGAGTTAATTCATCAGAACACCAAAATATTTTTAACAATTTTCCAGTGGGTTTCATGTTTTTGCCGCAAATCAGTAGTCTCGACTTGTATGAATGACTGTTTTGGCCCAAGTTGTTATAGGTTGACAGTTTTGTTTCCATGAAAAATTAAAGTGAAGCTTAATTTTTTTTTTTTTGAAGAGCTTATTTTTAAAAGATATGATATGCTGTGAAAATGTGGTCCAAGCTCTTATGTCTGTTTTCTCGAAACATAATTTTTAAATTCATTTTCAACTAAAGTGTGCTCTCATTCTTTTCATTGAAAATTTTTTTTTTCAAACATGCAACAGATTTTTCTCATTATGTTTTTTGGGACTGGGAGGATGAAGGAAATAGAAAGAACACAATTTTGAAGGGGAAAAGGGGGGACATTTTAGACATTACTGTCACTTTTCTGTTCCAACCTAATAAACCTGTATCTATGTATTTGTGTTAATGAATCACTATTTCCCCTGAAGGGAAGATAATTTGAATTGATGGGAAAGAGGACAAATTATATATATTCGGTACCTGGCTTTTCCTTGGGGGGGGGGAGGGGGGTAAATGGTTTCTGTCCTCATCAAGACTCGAACATGCACACTGTATTGCTGCGAAGTTCAATACGATACTTTGGGATGTGTGGGGGGACGGGTACTTTTTTTTTCTCCACTCTGCACTACCTTGTGTCAAGCTCACCAACCCAGGAGAGGCAATGCAGTGCTGTAACTGTTACACCCTGTAATTTTGATTGAGGGAAAGGAATTAGGGTGTGTAGAGTGAACAATCCAATAGCAAAATCAACACCCTGTTTGCACACCTTCACAGAATTTCTAGAAACGCACATGATCATTGTGAAAATGGATTGGTCGACCGCTGAATGTTTTTCAATTCAGCCAAATGTTTATTCCTCTCATGTGGTTTAAAAACAACAGATCAGAATAACACACATGTCAACTCAAGCTAAAAATGGTCACAAACATTGCTTTGAAGAAGGTGCAGAAATTTTTTTGCTTATTTTTAAAAGTTAGTGTTGAAATTTGGGTAGAATTTATACTTTGTTGCTGATGTTATTCTTATTTTCCTTTTCTTCCGAACTTTCTTTGGCAAAGAAATGTCGTAATGAGACAGATATTGTTCTGTGTTTTATTTATATAATCACATATATTTTAAGTGGGTTGTTTCCTTTGTATGTTGAACAGGGGAACTGCCTCACTTGTGTGAAATCTGTGGGGGGAGGTTCACTGCTTTGAAGGGGCTTCACAAACACAAGCTCATCCACGAGAGAGAAGCTGCCAGAGAAGGAAGCGCTGCCCAGCAAACAATATGTGTGGAAGGTATGAGTAGATGAGTTGCCTCTTTCTTTGTTTTCATACGAGTTTAACCTCTTCTTTGCTTCTACCACCTTTCTCTCAAGCCTGCGGAGATACCTAAAGTGCCATTTTGGGACCTCAGTTCTTTCTTGTCGTATTTCCATTTTTAATAACAGTGAAAACAGTTCTTAACAAAGAGTACGCTCAAGAAGAAGTCACATTTTCAATGTTTAAAAAAAATGGAGATACGACAAGAAAGCACTGGGGTCGGGATATGCCTTGAACTGTTCCAGACACGGTTCTTTATTGGTTATCTAGTTTTCGGATGGAGATAACTTTGGATGTCAATAGTTTTACTTTTCTACTTCGGGCTGTATTGTTATTAGTAATGATGAACACATTAGTAAGTGAATTTAATCAAGTTCTTCTTCTCCTTCTCGATCGCATCACACTTGAAGTCTGGTATCTGTCATAAATTGGGCCGTCTTGCTCAGTTCATCTTTCGGCCCGTATACCTTCTCTTGTGGCGTCAGTGGGGTTGGCCACGTTTCCTGTCTCAGGGCCCTGTGTGTCTTGCAGTGCTGAAGAATGTGTTCAACAGTTTGGTCCGCCTCTCCCCACTGGCATTTTGGTGATAGTACTAGTTTAAAACATCTGATCATATGTTGTCTCAGTCTTGTATGTTGTGTTCTTAGTGGGAAGATAATCACTTGTTCTTAACGGGACTGCTCATGGTACCTATCTGGTGTCTGTGGTGCTTTAAATAGTGTATTTATAACAGTTTTTATTTCTGTGTAGTTGAAGCTGGTGTCTGGTTGCTCTTCCTGTGCTCTTAATTTGGCCATCCTGTCTACCTGTTTATTTCCTAAGACTCCACAGTGCGATGGAATCCACTGCGGCCTGATCTTCAAGCACGGGATGTCTTCAATTATTTCTCGCAGCCTTGGTAGTTTGCCGGCAGTGATTATCTGTTAAGAATACTACTTGGCTTTGAGGGTCTACCACATCCCTGATGATGTTTGCTGCATGTGTTAGAGCCTCTGTCTCTGCCCTGTAGTTTGTACAACAATGCCACCCTGTTGGGTGCCTCTGCTTGTCGTTGTCCATTTGGGAACTGTACGTACACTCCTGCTCCTCTTCTTTTCTCAGCATCAGTGGCAGATCCGTCCGTATGGATCCTTATACATGCTTCTCGGGGGTATCTTTCTTCAGGCACGGACAGGGTGAGGGATTTCTTGCTCAGGTCGCTGTGGTCATCTTTTGTGGGGAATATAGGGATGGACATGTGTATAGTTTTCTTTGTGTTTTTCTTTTCCCATGATGGTGCCTCTGGGGTATGATTCAGAATGTTCACTGTGGCTGTAGGGATCTTTGTATCTTTCTGATTTCTTTGATGAAGTTGGACCTTTTAAATTTTGTGGTGTTTGATCTGGCTGTTCTTGTGTGCATTACATGATCCTCCATAGCTGTAGCCTTGGTGTACTGTATGAGGACGCTGCACTCCCATCTCCTCCGCAGGACCACCATAGATGTTGTTTGTTCCATCCTTTCTATATATAGGCGTTGACCTCATTGCTCCAGCGATTATTCGGAGAGCCTGGTTTTGCACTTTTTTCAGAGTGTATTTGTGAGTGTGTGCTGCAGTCATCCATGCACTGGATCCGTACTCGAGATTGGGCCTGATTGCGCCCAAATAGACCTGTCTAATCAAGTTCTGTTATACTCCTCTTTGCCTTGTATATGAGGTTTCATGGCGCCGAAGGGGTTAAAACCCTGCTATAAAAATGCTATTTTGAAAATTGACCTGTAGGCCAGGGGTCACCAAACCTTTTTTCAAAGTGGGGCGGATAACTGAGAGAATGTTGAGAGCGCGAGATTTAAGAAATTTTTATAATGTAATTTTGTAATGTTGTATTGATTGAGATTCAAATCCTAGCTGTTTGTATGACTCATTAAGTTATATCAATGCTGTTAAGTTCATATTTCATTCATTGAGGTCATTTTTGTTCTTTCTTTTTGTGATTGACCATGGGGATTTTGGGGACATGTAAAGCAGACTTATACGCAAGCCACAAGCTTTGTATAATTTTGAGTCTATAAGTGGGGCTCTGCAGTTTTTGTATGAGTTTCCTTTCTTTCTTTCTCAGCAATTCAAGCAGATACAAGTCAACTTGCACAAATACCCATGAACGTCAGCCAGTCCACTGTGACCTCATTTGTTGTAAAGACCATCCCAGAAGGAGACGAGGGAAGCACATATGAGACCACATACATTTTACCTTCAGACTCTATTGTGATAGAAACTGGGGACGGCACTGCTGATATAATTTTGGCTACGGGAGGCACATATCAAGCTGCTGCTTATACTGCTGTGTAATTCAAGGGATATTCGTGTACTGTGTGATGCCGTCATATGGTTGTTGTCTTCGCTTTATGTTTTTGTTATGTTGTAACAGTCGCTGTTCTAGTTTTTTGCGTTATTATGGTTGCTATCCTGGCCTCCTATTTCTGTTGTCCTGGTTATTTTCCTAGCTTATTTTTTTTTTCTGTTGTTGTGGCAATTGCTATGATTTTTTTTTTATTATGGTTGCTTCCCATCATGTTTTTCTTTCTTGTTATGGCTTCTATCTTAGTGGGATTTTCTTGTTATTGTTGTTATCCTAGCATTATGTTTTTCTCGTCACGACAATTATCCCAGCATTTTGGCTTTATTATCTAGCATCTGCGTTTGTTGCCATTTTTTTGTCCAAAAGTTGCCACAAAAATGGCAAAAGTTGCCAAAAAAGTTGCCATTAATTTTCTAGCTTTCTACTATCTGAGACGACATATAGCAATATGTTGAAAGAGGTAACTTAACTGATTCCGTCCATTTGGCCGCTGACAGCAGCTCTGAGTTTTTCCGCTGCCTCCATTTGGCCGCTGTGAGCGGCTCAACGAAATCCGAAACAAAGGTGCACTTTTTAACATAGTTCCTACTTTTTAAGTTTTTTGACTGAGCTTCTTTATTTTCTTTGTCTTTTTGGCTTTCTTCTGGTGACTTTTTTGCAAAACCACATCCGTAAAAAGACTTCAGCCTATCACAACATGGCATCAGGTCAAAGGGCACAAGCCGAGCTGCTGCTGGTCAATGACAAAAAAATATAATGCTGAGATAGCAACAATAGCAAGAAAGATATAATGCTAGAAAGCCAAAAAGACAAAGAAAATAAAGAAGCTCAGTCAATTGCTTTTCCTAGTCAAGTGACATGAACAACCCTATCATGTTGCCCTTGAGTACATTTGAACTCTGCCAAACTGGTTCTGAAGAAAATTCTATTATGTTTCATCTTTTTCTTGTATTGGTGGTTTTTCAGCAACCTTTATCTTTGCTGGTTGCAAAGCAGTTCTATACGGGTTGTAATGTCCTGATTATTATTTGCAATTTTGAGTTGCATTTCTTGAGAGAAGCGTGATCGTTTTTTGTGGTTTTCTCTCGTGCAATGTTCATTTTTCAGCTATGAAAGGCAACTTCTTAATTTTGTTAACTGTTTTTGTGTTATAATATGACAATTGATTGGGGTTTGTTGGGTTTTTTTGGGTTGTTGAATAGGAGGCTTTTTTTTTTTCAAAAAGGTATATCATGGACCCTAGTCAGGATGGTTTCATTTTGGTTCAAAAGTTTTTAACGGCTTAAGTGACAGATGACTTTCTCTTAGTTTTGTGGGTTTATAATTAAATGATTTAAAGGAAAAGTTTTAATTTGCCTGCTCTATAGAATACTTTTGTTGATTTTATCATTTCAGAATTTGGCTGGTAATAGGCACATTGTATTTTAGTTTCAAGATACAGTGAAACTAGAATATAAAACGAATTTGTCTGGCGTGAATCCGAGTGTACATTATATCGATATGAGCAACAAGCTGCGTTACAGTGTATGACGTAGCATACAGCAGTGTTTGATTCAACACACCAGCGTGCAATTCAATATTTATGTAGTTCCATGTGTAGGTTTAAAATCCGACAGTGGGGGGGGGGGGGGGAGGTCTTTGCTGACATTACTTATATACCAGGTGTTGAACGCTTAAACCTACCTCCACCCGCCCCCTCCCCCCAATCCTTTCTCCAAGACACACATAATAACAGCCACATGTGTGCTTGCCGCTTGTCCAGCCTGTTTTAAGTGCTTGCCAACAACCAAAGTGTTGTTATGAGAGAAAGCTTCTGATTGGTCTCATAATATGTATGCAATATAGGCTCAGCTTGTAATGATCCACGGTGAGATCAATAGTCCCATAGAATGAGTAAATAAGGTTCTTTGCAGGAATAAAAATAAGGTTCATTAAGCCACAACAGCGGTGAGCTCTTCACCAAACAAGCGGCTTCATTAAATCCGAATTTGCTCATTTATGTCTTCGTTGAATCTAAGTTATTTTGGTGATTTTAATGAATTTTTTTAAAAGGGGAATCAGTCTCCTTTCATTGAATCCGAGTTTTTTTTATTAGGCAGCCGGTGTTTTGACGACATGTCGTTGAAAAAAAATTTACGCGCAATTTCACAACCTGTTGTGAAAAAAAAATTACGCGCATTTTCACGACACGTTTTTCTCTTTGGACCAATCCGTGGACTGCTGGGTCATGCCAGAGGGTGTATTATATAAATAGACTCTCTGCCCTTTGGCCAATATTGGCCATGCCTGCCTTCCCTCTCTCACTCTCTCAGTAAGAATGTCGGATGCGAATCCCCATCCCTTCGAAGTGGGACGAATTTTTAAATCGTATTTTGAGTTTGAAGAAGAATTTCGGACGTACTGCGGTACAAAGCATGTTTTCAGCAAAATATCCTCGAAATCAGTCACCGCCAAGAACAACACAATCAAAGACGAGTCGAAACACTACCCGGCGGAGTGGCAGTACTTCAAGGTCCTCCTGTTCTTGATTTGTAAACATTATGGTCGAGTACGCGCGAATAGGCCTAGATCTACATCTTACTGCCGAGGGGTTAGATTCTAGATCTACTGCCCGGGAAGCAAGAAAGCAAGTATGCCGCCCTTTCTCTCTCCTCTCTCTCCTGTCTCTCTCTCTCTCTCTCTCTCTCTCTCTCTCTCTCTCTCTCTCTCCAAAGATTTTTATGTCGCGGCATAGATGATGATGCAGCAAGTAAGCCTACATAATTTTGGGATGTAGATCTAGGCTTCGGGTTTTGTAAGGGAAAGTTGGAAGCACTCTTGGCACCCATCGCATCGCAGATCCAGTGGTTTTCACACCTTAATCGGAATGGCGTTATTCAAAATCGGAAACAAGATCTAGATCTACCGAAAAAAATTGTATTTTAGCTAATAGGCTTAGACCTCTGCGGTAAGAGCCAGTATAACGTCTATGCATAGAGTTATCTCCTTTTTAAAAAGTTCTTTAGTGTACATCTATACTCTATGTGTCTTTGACAGGTCGTGAAAATGCGCGTAGATTCTTTTTTCACGACATGCTCGTAAATTTTTTTTCCATCACATGTCATGAAAATACCAGCTGCCTTTTTATTAAATCCGGGTTTCACTGTGTAACTGCTTCGTTACTCGACTTCGTGAATGGTTCAGTGGTGGCATTTGTGCTCATTCATACTTACGACCATAGGTGAATTGTTCTCACCTTGTTATAAATTTTTCCTGATACCCCCCAACCGCCCCTATTTTCATGTCATCAAGAGTTTAGGTGCACAGTGATGATATTCTGATTGTTCTTATTCTTTTGTCAATTTTCTTTTGAATCCTATTTTTGGTGTGCACAGTGGGGCAAATGAACTACTACATAAGTGGGATAAAAAAATGTTTATAATCAATTCTGATCATGATATGTACCACAAAGATAATGTTGGTCAAAAGCACAGTGTACATACATACATACCCCCC